TACTGACTGTATAGGAAATATTCGGTCGAGTAATAGTGAGATAATTAAGTTTCTCAACCAATCTTCGATACCGACCTGGATTCTCAAACAATGCACCATCATCCATCAATAATTTTTGATTCAGATCCATAGGGGCATCAATCGGTCTATCACCCAACAAACCTGCTTTCTCAAGTATGTCAAGTACATATTTCCTCTGGGATAAACAAATACCCTGTTTAGATCGAACCACCTCAATACCCAAAAAATACCTGAATTTTTCCAAATCCTTAATATGAAATCGATCCTGTAAGAATATTTTAACTTGACAATCTCCTGAGAATCATTTTCAGTAATCACAATATCATCTACATAGACCACCAATAGGATATATCCAGTATCTGTTTGTCTATGAAACACAAAATGATCAGTCTGACATCGAAGAAGACCAAACTCTAAAACTGTATCTGAAAATTTACCAAATCATGCCCTTGGTGACTGCTTCAAACCATACAAAGATTTTTTTAACCGACATACACTCTTACCATACTCCCCCTGAGCAATAAATCCAGGTGGCTGCTCCACGTATACTTCTTCAACTAAGTCACCATGTAGGAAGGTATTCTTGACGTCTAACTGAAATAAGGGCCAATCAAGATTAGCAGTTAAAGAAATCAAGATACGAATAGAGAAAATTTTGGTAACAGGAGAAAAAGTCTTTTCATAATCAACACCATAAGTCTGAGTAAAGCCTTTTGCAACAAGTCGTGCTTTGAGACGCTCCACAAAACTATCTGGATGAAATTTAACAGTATAGACCTAACGATAGCCAATAGTTCGTTTACCAGGGGATAAAGGAACGAGATCCTAAGTTCCATTATTATGTAAAATATCCATCTCCTCCTCCATAGCTTTCCTCCAACCCGGATCAGATAATGTATCCTGTAAATGTTTAGGAATGGATATAGCAGATAATTTGGAAGTAAAACAAGAGAAAACAGGAGACAATGCATCATATGAAACAAAATGAGAAATGTGATGATTAGTAACACATGAACGAGTACCTTTGCGAAGAGCAATAGGTAAAGAGTCTAAATTACCTGATGTACCAGGATCAGAAGGCGGCAAGACGGTACGGGCATCTCAGTCGATGGACGAGGATGGCGAGAGTAGACACGGAGAGGTAAAGTAGATGGGAACACAGTGGGCAGTAGAATATCTAAAGTTGGTGGTACAGGAGATGATCCAAAGTCCAGATCCAAAGGCTGAGAAGGTGTTGAAAAATATGGAACATTATTCAAACGTGACATCAGCACTAGTAAAATATTGGTGCAGAGAAGGGTTGTAGCAACGATACCCCTTCTACGTGCATGAGTAACTAAGAAATACACATTTGGTAGCTCGAGGGTCAAGTTTGTCAAACTCAGGACCCAAATTGTGAATATAACAGACACATTCAAAAACCTTAGGAGTCAGAAAAAATAAGGGCTTACCAGGAAAAAAGACAAAATATGGATTTTGCTCATTTAACACAGAGGATGACATACGATTAATAAGATGATAAGCAGTAAGAAACAACATTACTTCAAAAATATTGGGGAATAGTCATCTGGAATAACAAGGCACGAGTGACTTCCAACAAATGACGGTTCTTGCGTTCAGCAACACTATTTTAGGGAGAGGTGTAAGCACAAGAAGTCTGATGAATAATGTCAGTTTTACTAAGATAAGCTGAAAAATGACCAGATTCATATTTTCAAGCATTATCAGAACATAAAGTACGTATACAACAACCATATTGAGTTTTTATTTCCTTATGAAAGGTCTCAAATATAGAGAATAATTCAGACCGAGCTTTCATAAAAAACAACCAAGTTACACGAGAATAGTCATCTACAAATGTCATAAAATAAGGATATTTATTAGATGAAATATTCTTTATTGGACCTCATATATCAGAATGTATTAACTCAAATGGACTAGACACACGATTATGGACTCTAGACTGAAATGACACACGGTGATGCTTACTAAGTCGACAAGCTTCACAAGACAAAGATGACACATAACTAAGATTGGGAACTTGACGCTTCAGATTTTGGAGAGAGGGATGTCCAAGACGACAATGCCATTGAAAAGGAGACAACGAGGTTTGTAGAGCCTTGGTAGGTGAATCAAAGTCAAGGTAATATAGACCACCAGCTTCATGTCCTGTATCAATCTTCTGCTTTGTCTTGATATTCTAAAAGACACAATAAGAGGGATAAAATATAACAAAACAATTGAGAGAACGAGTAATCTTGCTAATGGAATGTAAACTAAAAGAAAACTAAAGAACAAATAACATAGAAGATAGAGACATATCAGAACTCAAGTGAGTAGTTCCCAAACCTGAAACTTTAGAACAAGTACCATTAGTAAGAATAACACTACGTGTGGAAGTAGCAGATTGATAAGTAGAAAAAACATCAGACGCACTAGTCATGTGGTCAGAAGCGTCAGAATCTTTGATCTAGGGACTGCGAGTGAAGGACAATAAACAAATGGAAGTATTACTTGACTGGGCAAAAGTAGCAGTGGAGGAAGATGGGACAGCCTGTTGCTGGGACAAGAACTGAGCATACTCCTCTCGTGTAATAGTAACCAACCCAGTGTCTTGTTTGGGTTCCATAAGTGCAGCAAATGAAAAAGAAAATCACTAGATCACTGAACTGGACAAGAATCACCTACTGCACTGTTGAACCGAACCAAAGGAGTCCACTAAACCAGACCAAAGGAGTCCACTGGACTGCTGAACTGGATCAGAGAAATCCACTAGACCGCTGAACCGGAAATAAAACAGAGGGAACCGGACTGAACCGGTCGAAAATCGACTGAACCGGGTTGGAAACCTACTGAAATTGCTTGAAGACCTTCTGAACCAGATGTGGAAACTAGAAAATCTACTGAACTAGCCACAAAACTACTGAATCAACTGGAAAAGATGCTGAACCAGCCGAGAAAGGTGATGAACTGGCCGAAAAGAATGCTAAACCGGATGAATCGAACTGGAATGGACCAAACCGGAACTGAACTGGTCTGGGTCTTGGGCTGGACCGGTTTTGGTTTGGATCTTGCGTTGGACTGAGTCTTACTTTATCTTCTTCGTCTGGTTAGGGTTCTAGAGGACCCTTTTCTTTGGCTGTGCCTCACCACCAACAACAGATGACAAACCACAACAACAACACCACCACCACCACGACAACACAAACCACCAAACCACCACCACTAAAACCCTCTTCACATTAATGGCGATGTACAGTCAACAAACACCAGTCAACGAACAGCAACAACCACCAATCACCAATGTCGACAACCAACGATCAGCAGCAACAACCAACAATCAAACCACACCAGTCGAATACTCGACTGCCACCAACAATCAGACCACACCAGTCGACGGCCAACGATCAGACCAAACCAGCAGCAACAACCAACAATCAAACCACACCAGTCGAATACACCAGTCAACTGCCACCAACAATCAGACACACCAGTCGACGGCCAACGATCAGACCAAACTAGTCGAATACACTAGTGGACTACGCCAGTCGACTACCACCAACGTCGACTACGCCAGTCGACTACCACCACTACCGGACAAAACAACCAACGTCGACCAGCACAACACAACAACACTACCACCACGATGAACAGAGACCACACGATGAACAATGTTAATATATTTAGAATCGTTCGTGCTCTGATATTGTGTTAAATTTGAAAAATTAACATAATATTAGAGACAATATTTAGGGAGAAACAGAAAGGTTAAAAACTTAACCTAGCTCTCATATATCACTTGTATTTATAGTTAACCAACAATAATAAGAATTACACATACACCCTCTTACTATTAACAATTTATACATACTACCCTACTATTCTTAACAAATTCAAATACGAGGGTGAAGGGCAACACACAACCTAACACAATAGATTATTCTTTATTTCTTAGAACCCTGATATCATTTTTTATTAATCCAAACTTGCAAAGACGAGAATTCATATGAATAAGATAAGAGAGAAAAGAAGACTGCTGCACCAAGATTTCAAAATACTAATAATTAGGTACAAGAGACACTATATATAAAACTCTACCACAAGAGACTAGAATATCGCTAACAGTAAATAAGCATAAATACAAATACAATCTTAACAAAGCAAATGGATTGCTAGTGTCAACGGTAACTTTAATTTTGGTTTGGTGGCCAACATCACTTGACAGATTTTAGTCTTAGGTAGTCCTTTTATTTTCATGCATTCTGTTTAATATGATCTCCGACTCATTAAAATTCATGGGAACTCTCGGTATTATTTTTGGTCTGGCATCTATTTGTTATTAACTCATCCGGTTATTGGTATAGAATGTACTGTTTTCAGGGATCAGGAATTGTCTTGCTGTATATGTCAGGAAAGAGGTTTTATTACTCTTTTTTTTATCTCTTGTCCGAGGAAAAAATATTCAATGTAACGGTTACACCATATCAGCACTGCACTGCCATGATGTAACCATCCAATAATAAACAACCAAGTATACGAGTGAACCTCACCAAATTTAATATCTACCCAATCCATGTAAAAAAGTGGGTTTCATCTTTCCTATTTGTAAGTTTATCATTGGATGGTTACGTTACGTGGCAGTGCTAACGTGGTGTAACTGTTACATAGAATATTTACTCCTCAGACTAACCTTTGTGTTACTGAAGTAGAATATTGTAGTTCATTCAAGGCTATTCCCTGTATTGTTCCAACCAAGATAACAACTGGATTAGTCACTTTCTAGTGCCAATCTTTATATTTTTTTATTTGAGGTTTATCATGTTTTTTACTTCCTCTAAACAAATGCTGGTTCTAGCTACTGTTAGAAAAGGATATTTATAGTACGTAGTCTATGCTGTCTTATATTCAAGTATTGTTCTCATGAAATCCTAATAGCATTTATTATGCAGGTTGTGCCAAATACAAGGAGCAGAAGTCAGATGGGGGAGACCACTGATGGTGGTTTATATGAGATTTTTCAACAGGACTATGGGCCCGTTGGTTCTCCCAGCTTTGAAGCTGCTCGGGAGAATTTCATCATTAGCAGTGCTGGCTATGCAGTTGCTAGTCTGTTGCTGCAACCAAAGGACAGACATAATGGGAATCTTTTGTTTGACAAGTAAGCTCTATCACCAGTTATTCATGTATGAGTAATAGATATTGATGGTTCAAGTAGTCAAATCTTAACTTGGTATATATGACTATTTTACTTGGTCATAATTTCTGGAGATCTGCTGTATTAATCCGCACCAAACACTCATTGTGGTGGAAATATCCTATTTGAATGAAATAATTGGTGTTTGTGCATAGAAATATGACATCTTGTATATTTGAACTGTACCAAAAGCTGCAGAAAAGTTGAATTAACAGAATGTTTGTCCATTGCAGTCTAGGTAGGCTTGTCCATATTGATTTTGGTTTTATCCTGGAAACTTCACCTGGTGGAAACATGCGCTTCGAAAGTGCCCACTTTAAGCTTAGTCATGAGATGACTCAATTACTTGACCCGTCTGGCGTGATGAAAAGTGACACTTGGTATCTGTTTGTGAGGTAAGAAAAGCTCTTGAATCAATTTCTAACCTTTCTTTGCTTCTCAATAAACATTTTTATGTCAATTGTGATCTGTTTTGTCTCACATGTTATGCAGATTATGTGTGAAGGGTTACCTTGCTGCTCGTCGATATATGGATGGGATTATCACTACAGTGTTGCTAATGATAGACAGTGGATTACCTTGCTTCAGCCGGGGTGACCCCATTGGAAACCTGCGCAAGAGATTTCACCCGGAGATGAGCGAGCGTGAGGCAGCCAATTTCATGATCCGCACGTGCACTGATGCTTATAACAAGTGGACCACTGCTGGGTACGATCTGATACAGTATTTGCAGCAAGGCATCGAGAAGTGAAGGATATTTAGTGAGTTGTAATCGTTTGTAAATAGTGATTGCGTGTAACTTTTTAATTCATTGTTTTTATAACTTAGCTGCAATTTTTCGGAGGGATTACCACTTTGGTAGTGCTGAGGGCAAGTTTGTGTGATTGGCAAACCTGTAAATGAGTTGATTGTAACTGAACGCCGAGCTTTTTCAAGGGTTGTAAGAATGAAGTTTGTAGCTCATATTTATTAATGATAATCACAGTTTGGGACGGTTCGTGCAGCTCTTCATTTTCATTTCATTTGATGGTCAGGTTGGGGATGGAAAGGAGTGATGGACATGCAGTTGCCTTGTGTTGTGATCATGGAGAAAAACACAAACAGACGAACTATAAATTTCTTCCAAGCATCAAGCACTATAAAAACTGTAACTTCTTTTGTTTTGACCAAGGAAAGATGGGGAAAGGGAAAGTAACGTAATTCCATCGGTTACATAGATGTGCTGCATTTGTCGCGACAGCCGATTTGTTGTGAATGGTTGACATATAGCGATGGAACTAAATTTCGTTTCGAAACGATCAAAATGTCAAAAAATTTTTTTTTCTATGAAAATCAAAATAAATCATTGATTGAATATCAAAATTTTTGTGTCAAGATATTTAATAGGTTTTGAAGTGTTTTGACATATTTTGACTTATATTTTAGTATGTTTTGACCTATGTTGCAAAAATAAATATTCAAATTTTTCTTTGTTTTCATCTTGTTTTTAAATATTACAGAAACATTTTCGTTTTTAAAATCATCTAAAATTATGTACCGAAATAAAATTTTGATCTTTGCATACAATTCAAGTGACACGACGAATGTGATGCACACAATCATACTCTATCAATTGCCGTTTTGCAAATGGTTGGCGCACGATCTAGGTAACTCGATTGTAGGGTGATGGGTATGCTTCCATGACCGATATGCTGCACCAAACACCTTGGTCAAAATATGCTCTATGCATACCTCATTCATTTATGATTGTTTATTAAGATTTAATTGGTGGCGGATATATCTTGTTTATAAGTAATTTTAAGTGGATTTATTTTGAGTCAGGCCGGTCCAATCACTATGTTATTAAGGTCTGGATTTTAGGCTCCGCTTTAAAGAATATTTCATAATTTTTAAATGGGAATTTGGAAGTCGCTATAAAAATTTAGATTTAATTAAACTAAATTACATTAAGAAAACTTATTTGGCCCTTAGTGTATTTTTTTAAAAAAAAGACTAAAAAACTATTTATTACACCATTATTCTCTCACTTTGTCTTCCCTAATTTCTCTATTTTTCACTCTCTCTCCCCTAATTTGCACTCACCGTTACTTTTTTCTCTTTATTTTCTCTCTCTATATCAACGTTATAACAACACAATTACACAAATCAATTTTATTGATTAATTACAATTACCTTATAATATACAAAATAGTTACTCATATGTTATAATAAACCAAGCAGTTATACTAAACAATTACATGAAATTATAACATCAACCCAATTGTCATTCAATTGTTTATATAAACTAAAGAATTTACACAATTTAGTATTATAACATGATTACACCAAATTGGGTTTATTATTACACAAAAGACTTTACCATTATACCAAATTTGGTGTATATAATTGATGTAATCATGTCGTGATACTAAGTGATGCAACTCTTTGATTTATGTAAATAACTGAATGACAAATTGAGTTAGTGTCATCATTTTGTGTAATTATTTGATATAACTGTTTGGTTTATTAGAACATATGAGTAATTGATTGATGTAATTGTGTTGTTGACTTGTTGTAACGTTGATATATAAAAAGAGAAAATAAGTAGAGAGAATAACAGTGAAAAAAAATAGGGGGAGATAGTGAGTGAGAGAGAAAATAGAGGAGAGATAGATGAAAAAATCAAATCAAATCGTTAAATACTTAAAAAAAAAAAAATTATTAATGGGAGATAGATAAAAAAATAGAGGAAAGATATGGAGAGTAACGAGACAAAGAGATGTAGAGAAAATAGGGGAGAGATAATGAGAGAGTAATGAAGATAGAGCTGGACAGAAAATATGGGAGAGAGATAGAATAAAAATTATGCATAAATTAAAGAAGAATAAGTAAAAAAATTCAAATTTCATTTGAATTTTGTACATAATCACAAGATATTTTATTAAAATTGAACTTAATAGAATAAAATACTTATCCATACACTTTTTTTCAAATAAGTTTAAAAAAATATATTCACACATAAAATTTTTTAAATGTATAATAATACCCAAATAAAATTTTGAATCCATAAAAAATAGGTCCTACAAAAAATTTAAATTTAAACCCAAACAAAAGATTTTAACTTGAGTGAATTGAGTTTATTAATTCAGCCCTTGAAATTAAAAGGCTTAAAATTCAATTTTTTGAAAAAAAAGAAAAAAAAAGTTAAAGATAAAACTAAAACCACTAAAAATCAAATCTTAACCCTCCAAAAAAGTCAAATTCAAACTTTTCATTGTAATTTTTCAATCATTCTCTGCCTCTCTCATTATCAAATTCAACTATGATAACAAAAATTTGAATATAAAAACTTAATTAATAATTTTGTATTTCAAAAAATTAAAAAAAATTTCATTTATTATTTTCGCTTTAGGCCCTAAAATGTCACGGACCACTCCTGTATTGAGTCATTTAATACATAAATGTGACATATTGGTTTGTATGTAATTGAAACCCGTTAAAACTAAACTTTGGCGCATCAACTTTTTGCCACTATTTGTCTTATTAAGAATGTTTTAAGGATTATCAATGTGTTAAGTAACCTAGAAGTAAGCGTGTGAATGTGATCACCAACATGCTTACATATATATACTTGTCACCATCAATATATCAAAAACGAAAATGATGAGTGATGAGCTATCAATTTCAGAATCAACGTTTTCAAAGAAGCCGCAGAGGTCCATTTGAAAATGGTGCTGAAAAGTTTTAATCTTTTCATGGTTGAAAAAGAATGTGTGATGGTGTCCAAGCACTTTCAGACATACACAAACTGGTCCCTGATGGTGTTTGAATCTTTTATGCTGTGTTTTGTTTTATATTCATCTTAGTTAAAAAAAAAAACCCATTTAATTTTGAAATAATTCTTGTACTGCTAGATTACAATACTCGTTAAATGAGTTATTTAAGTCTAACACTAATTTAATTAATTGTGTCATTCAGATTCGTGTGGTGTTATTTCACGTTAATGTGTAAAATTAACACCCTTATGGTGTGTTTGCTTTAGATATTAGGAAAAAAGGATTTGAAAAAAAAAATGCTGAACCCACCTTATTCCTCTTATACACATAAAATAATGTTGGCCCCACTTTATTCCTTTTATATTTATGTTTGAATACACATTTCGAGCCCGATATTATCACTTAAAAATAATATTGGTTCAGATAGATAATGTATTTAATATCACCTACAACTTCTTAAATAAACTCACATTTATGGCGGGTTTAAATAATTCGGTTGAGATGTATTTAGGCAAAAAATATTTTTATCCTTAAAAATCTCTAAGATATAGTATTCTTTATCTTGAGGGTTCTTTAGTAATTTAATGTTTATGCCATCATTCAATATTTCATCCAAATAAAATATTGCATGGGATAAATGTAAAACCCACTATTTCTTATTACTTGAACCGAACATGAAATGAGGAGGCATTATCACTATAATTAGTCTAAGGTCTGAATAAATGGATATGAAATAAACGGGTTTATCCAATTCGGTCCTTCCTAAACCAAATACACCCCTAAATTATTAGACAAAAACTCTTTGTCAAACTTCAATTTAGGACCATTGCATTTGGGCCAGTCACTAGTCTCTCGAATGAGTTGTAGGAGTTGGACCACGTTTGAAACTTTGGACTTAGATCTGTCCTGCACATGTTTTGTATGTTAGTTACGTCTATTCGAGTTATAGTATGAGGTTCTCATTCAATGACACTTTTGTCTCACCTTTGAATAAAAACTACCATTGACAATTCAAAATGCCATTGCTTACGTTACTTTAAGTTTTAGAGGAAGTGGACATCACTTTCCATTGGTAGCATCATATCAAGCACTTAATGTAAAGAGATATGGAGTTCGAATTAGTATAAAGAGATATGGAGTTGACTACACCACTATATATATTTTTTTTCTAATTTTATACCTCTATTTATCACATTTGATATTATTTTTATTATATTTGTAGTTATTTTTATCACTATTGTAGTATCTAAAAAATAGTAAAATTAGTTATCACACCAGTGATAAAAACATTCACAAAAGTGATAATTTTTTTTGGTACAAAAGAAAAGTAATAAAAATAATTGACATAAATGTGATAAAAATACCTACAAAAGTGATAAATCACCATAAATTTTTTTATTGTAAAATAATCCATAAAAATTATTTACGGTACCAAATTTTTTTTTTTCGATAAATAGAAAAGGTTATGATTATGGAATTGAAGTAATGTAACATATCAAATATTACAAATTTTTTTGCATTAAATGCAACTTTTGTGAGTCAACTTACTAATGGTGTCAAGTTAAGACAAAGTTTTTTTTTATGGTTAATCCTAAAATATTATGATAGATCTTAAAAGTTTTTAGAGTTAATTCCAAATAACCTTATTTTGATATAAATTTCACTAGATTAAGATCCCCCTTTCCTAACCTTAGGGGTGGGGTTTAATGGTCAAGTTTATTCTCTTTTTCGAAGAGGTCTCAAATTCGATACTTTCTATACTCCTTAAGGGAGAGTTATCTTTATTCCCTAAGAGACATATCTTTAAACTAACTTGAGTTATGATGGTTGGTTTAGAGATTGAGAGAATAGTCAGTGTATATTCAGACACCGACAAAAAAGAAAAAAATTCCCCTCCCCCTCCCCCTCCCCATCCCCATCCCCATCCCCAAAAACAGAAAAGATCTTACCTTTAACAATGGTGTAGTCAAATATATATAATTCTTATTATTATAGA